GGCCGGGGCCCCCCCCCCCGCCCGCTGCCATGGCCTCCTGCTGACGCTCATCGGGGGCAGTGTCGGCAGTGGTGGCCCACCTTAGTATTTTGCGGGGGCTTTTCTCATCAGAGGGGTGAGATTGAGCCCATGGACCGCGGGCTCTGTGCTTCCCCCGAAAGAGCATCCAGCCCTCTGAGGTGGAAGTGGAGGGCTGGTCAGCAGGGACAGGGCCTGGGGGGTGCTAGTGGTTCTTGGGGGGGGAGTGGGTCTGGAAGGCAAGGGAGGAACAACGGGGGGCAGGGAAACTTCCCTCTGGGGTGATCCCTCTCCCTCACCCGGCAGCAACCACACCACCCCCTCCTCCATGGGCCCCGCCAAATCCGGTTGGATGGAGATGGGACCCGCCTGCTCACTAGGGCATGCTGGATGGGGCGCCCCCGACACCCAACCAGAGCCATTGGCAGTGGGAGGAGGGGTAGCTGCAGAGGCTGGACTACCAGGGGGTCGACAGTGTTGGAGCCGGCATTCTCCTGGGCCCCTGGGGACTTGGATGCCTCCTCAAACCTGGCCAAGAGGCAGTCCCTCCAGACATGCCCCAACACCCGGCAGAGGAAGCACTGGGTCTTCCCTGAGGAGTAGTGAACCCAGTACAGGGTCCCCTGATAGGGCACCCAGAAGGACCTCTCCAGTGCCTCCCTGCCACGCGCTGCCAGTGGCATTTGCAGCTGTACTTGCTGGCAGAAGGACAGGACATGGCAGAGGACGTGGTCCTTGCAGCCCAATAGGAGAGGGCTGATGGTGGAAATAGGTTTCCCCAGGGTGGAGAGGGCAGACAACAGGGCAGCATTAGGAAGGAAGGGTGGGACGGAGATAAGGACCATCCGTACAAGGGGCATGTGCACACCCCCCACCTCCAGGCCCCTCTCCACCACCTCCTGGGCGGCAGCCTCCGAGGCAGGAAGAAACAGCAGGGGAAGAAGGGGTCGTGACAGGCATCAGGGCCGCAGTGGGCAGGGCAGTCTCAGCCATGGGGGTTTTGGCCTTCCAGGCCGGGCCTTTACCCTTTTTCTTCCCCTGGCCCTTTTTACTGGCTGAAGTGGAGGCTCCTCCCAAATCGGGGGGAGCGTCGGCCATGGCAGCGGCAGAGCCCAGGCCAGGTGTCGGGAGGTCAGTCACACCTGTCTTTGGAATCGGTGGCACCAGGGGAACCTTGAAGTCAATGGGGATTGGAGAAGGGGCAGGGATCTCCTCCATCCCAGCGGGTGGGGTTGGAGGAGGCACAGATAGTGGGGAAGGATAGGGCAAAGGTCCTCCCCGCAAGCAATAGGAAGGGGAAGGGG